CACAGATCCAAAAGCATCAAGTTAAACTCCACTCGAGTAACAGCCCTTTGAAGAGGATCTTTCCTAGGCCAGGTAACTTCAACTTTTCCTCGTGCCTGAAGTGTGGAAGAGGCATCCTGACAGCAGTGGAAGGACTGTTGTAAATTAGAGGATTCCCCAGAAGACAGGTATTTTGATTTAAAATATCCATGAAGTAGTTAATCAGTAATGAAGCAATGTTATGTAATTTTAGCATATTCCAGCTATACAGTAGCTTGGTTTTGCACTCTCTTTTCCTTTTTTTTTCCCCTGTTGTATAAATTAAGAACATCTTAACACTTAGAATGAATCCTAGACAGTGTACTGCATTAACCAACCCAACCAAGAAAAACAGCAACAGCCAAAAAACAAGCAAAAAACCCTGCCACTAGTCCTGAGTCCCTTTCAGGACTGCTTGCAGTCGGATCAGACGCCAGCGTTGAGCGCACCGCTGCTTGGCCACCTCGGTGCCCGGGGTGACTCCATCAGCGTTATTCCGACGAAATATTCTGCGCTACAGAACTAGCCGTGCTCCGGCCGTGGCCCCAGCGGGTCAGGTGGGATGCGAGCCCCATTGTGCTCCTCGGTGCACAAACACAATGCGGGTTAGCCTTTGCGGGAAGAGCCTCTGTCAAACGTTTGTGCCGTTTGACAGCGCGGTCGGTAGAGCGTTTGTTTTCAGATGCACAACACGGTACGTGTATACAAGGGTATACGTGTATACAAAACAGGGTGCGCTCACAATGCGAGAGAGGCTGGGTGATCACAAACACACCTTTCTCCAAGGGCTGAAACAAATGTATGTTTCTTCTCTTCAAAAAAGCAATTCACAACAATTACACTGTCAGGCTCAAGACGACCAATTTTGTAATATGCTTGGCAATGTCATCCACCTGGAAGCGCATGGGTTCTCTTCCTTTTACAATAGCGTTTTAGGTTTTATTCCAAATGCATGCATGTATCAGGAATATTGAAAGATCTAGGTGAATTTATGGTGCTTTTGAAGTTAAAAGCAAAAGTAAATAAGACTATGGTTTCACCCCTGTATATTTAAATCCAAGAAATATGAGCAGGTGTGGCTTACAAGGAATACGCCCTGTATTTGTATTTACTTACTAGTAAATGAGGAAGTGTCTCATCTAAAGACACTTTCACCTGGAGAAGTGGGAGTGGCAGCTCCAAACATTACCCTGGGAAAAATAACAGCATTGCATCTCTTTGTCACAAATATAAATTAAGCATTAAATAACACTACGAGAATGAAGCGTCATTCCAGCTGTTTTGGCTTCTGATGTGGTGGCCAGCGTATACCTATTACTCTGTTAGCCTTTACAAACAATGAGAGTTTGGATTTACCTTTTAGCACCACAGCCAAAAATACAGTATCTAACAGAAAACACCTGTACAGACATATACAAGCTATTCCCAATCTCAAGTTGAAGCAAGAGCAAACCAGTACCCATAAGCTGCTACCCATACAGCTGAAAAACAAAGCTCATTCAAAGCTCACACACACACACACACACAGAGCAGGTGGGTTTAATGGTCATCACAGGTTGTAGGTGCAGGAATTTATGCCTTGTGCAAATGTTTTGTGAAGGCCCAGGCTCTCACACTGTGTTTGGTGGTGGGGACGTGCACTGAAAGAGCTCTCACCTCGCGGCAAGTTCATCACAGAGAGTATTCACAGCACAACGGTACACAAAAGAGCCTGGCTAATTCTGGGCTGGGAGCTTCCAATGCTGAGATGGTGCCAGGAAGCTCCTCTGTGGCCTGTGGCACTTCAGTCCCGTGTCCCTGTTATAGTACCGCCAAATCCCTGCTCGAACACGCTGCAGGTAACTTTCTGTTAAGTTTGGAGGGTTTTTGGTGGGTCCTTCCAGTAGGTTTGAAACTTCTTGTTAACGTGGCTTGTGTGGCCAGGTCACCACCCTCAAGGGTAGAAGCCCTTGGCCACTCTCGTCAGTGAAAGAAAATAAGGTGAGAAATAACTCCATCTAGAAAGAACAGATATGTAAGATATGCTTTAAAAGAGACTTCCCCAGTGCTGAAGGCCAGTCAGAGTAACACTTGTGCATGCATTTTGTGCATTTTGTGTGGCCTGGTAAATCCGGTTGTGTGATAGTAGAACAAAATTTTATTCAGGTTTTTTGAAGCACCACCATGACTGACAGAAATGCTCCGGTTGGAAGAAAGCCAACAGTTAATCACAATTCCTCAGAATTTGGAGGCAATTTTGTAGAACAAGAAATACAGAAGTATCAGTGAGTCCTGAACCTTCCTCCAGGACAAAAATCTATTACTTCATATAAGTCCATTAAAACACTTCATATAGCCCTTTTAATCCCTCTTAACGGATTTGCTTTATCACAGACAGAGGAGCTAATCCTCTCCCACCTGTCTTTATGATATGGAACCATAAACAAGAGCAAGTACTTTTCATTTGTTAAGCATTATCCCACTTTGGATAACGCTATCATCAACACTAGAATTAGTGTAATGAAGCTGCCTTTAGGAACACTGTAACTGTCTCAAATTCTCATACTAGCAATCTATTCCTCCAGCGGGGAACTTAGAAACTCATTTACCATCTGTTCCCAGAACGCATCTCTTACTGCAAGTTTCAAGACACTAAGTAAACCGAGATTTGAATTCTAGCTTGCAGAAGCTTCCTCCTTTTCCTTCATCCCAGGCCTTATGTGAGACATTTCAGAAGTCTACTGTGCATGACCGGATGGCAGACTTGCTCAAATCCATCAGAAACTGATACAATTAGGTTAGCCGGTCAGCTGACCTTCCCTTCTTATTATGCAGCTGTTTTATGCTGGGTATTCTTTATTTTTTTAAAAGGGAATCTCCCGGCTACCTAAAAATAGTTAACTAAATAATTTTAACTTATGTACTGTAATAGCAACTGGACCCTTTACAGTTTGGCACTGCACAGATACGCAGAAAGCATCCTAAACAGCCCATTGACAAAGTTTGGGTTCAAGAACTGGAATCTACACTTTAGTCTTCTAATCATTAAAAAGCCTATTAGCATTTAGCACACCTATTTACCCCCTTAGAACAAAATACAATCCATCTAGGTGATCATTCCAGATGCTATGTATTTTCAGTGTAGCAAAGTCCTACATAACCTAGGAAGTAGTAGAAGAGATTATAACAGCTACCAAGGGCATATTTAACATAAAAGCCTGGAGAAGAATAACTTCTGTCTGTTCAAGTTGTGGAGGGTTTCTTCATACACCTGTCAGCTTGCTCAGATTTTTTCCACTAGAAAAGCATTGCTTTGCCTTCGTGCAACCTGCTTGGTTGCACGCCACAAAATCTGTCGGCCCAAAAGAAGCCACAATCACTCCCATAAGCAAAGGCAACCATCCGATGTTCTGAAGGACCCAGACGTGATCTACAAGATAGATGAGTATTAAGTGCAACAGACCTAGCACCCGAAGAATAACAAAAAGCTACCACTCTCGCTCCTTTCCCACTGCCTTCTCTAGGGTAACACATGACAGTCAGAATACCACCTTATACATACAGTGACCTATTAGCTTTTAATTTCTGTGTGAAAGAATAGATCATTAAGGGCAAATTTGCCTCATGAAAAATTAAGATATTAAATTTAGTTAATAAAAAGAGCATTAGTCTGACTAACTGACTAACAGGTTTTTTTGGTTGCTTTTTAAAGGAACCTAAAATGGTGGTCACAGGCTAGCGTGACACAGCTACTACTGGACGATAACCACTGAGGGACAGAACACATGTGGGTCCTTTGGGCTTTTCCCTATTCCGCTAAGAAACCAACCAAAACAAAAACCCCACACATCACCTGTCTGAAAATAGAGGGGGGAGGGAGGGGGAGAGAGAGTGTGCGAGGTCAGCAATATGAATAGGACTTCTTGAAGAATAACTTGGAGCAACCTTACTCAACATATAGCTGGATTGTAACCAGTTAGGAAAATGCAGTCGGCTCGCTATATTTGAGTGGCAGTACACGGTCTTAAAAATGGTCGTATCTGACTAAGAGTGACTGTTTGACAAGGATTTCATTGTCTCCTAGGGCAGTTTGCAGCTGTCACTGTTAGAAGTATCAGTGATAAGGCAGCAGCGCAAAGCAGAAGTCAGTTACTCCTCTGAAACAGTCTTCTCTTGGCGTCGCTTCATCACAAGAAGGGTAAATCTTGGCAAGTGTATTTTTTATATATATATATATGTATACACACACAGTGTCACCTGACAAACTTCCGAGTTTGTCAGTAATTTATGACATTTAAGCACAGCACTAGACTGGGAGAGCAATGCTACCAACTGTAAAGCAAGTGTTTTCTTAGGTGCAGGCATATCACAAGTCCACTGTATGCTTCACTCAAACTGCATGTGCTGTTTAGTAAAGGATGCAACTTTTTAAGTCAGCTATAGCTGTATACAGCTATATAACCATATGCCACTGAACCACAGATGGAGTGATGGAGTTAACTACAAAACCCCAGCCTATTCAGATCGTCAATATACCACAGATTAGTACAGCTTGAATATGGCCACTCAAAGCAGCAAGACATCAAAATGGAAGGTATGACACATTCATCAACTTATTACTATGATCTTTAAGCGGAGTTTCTCTAGAACCGCTTACTCTGAATACCACATAAAATTATATCCACTTAATAAACTTTTTACTTGAAAAGAACAGTGCCGTTAGCCTTGACCCACACGAAGAAGAGCGAGATCTCCCTATTCATTCTAATGAAAAGCTTTTTTGCTGAATATGTGTTAAATAGCCACAAGTAGCTGTGACACTTGGGTCACCCTTAAGAGCCTTTAAATTAAAGACAGAAGGTAGATTCGGCTGACGCTGGGAAAACGTACGGGAAAAGAACCAAACGAGCCACACGCAGATGCACAAACACACACACACTCACAAACTCCAACTTCCAAAGCTAGCAAACTACAGCAACACAGCCATTATTTTGTATCCTACCTCTTGCTTTTTATTTAGATTTGCGCTTAATAGGTTCATTACTTCAGTTGATGTACAATTTAACCAGCAAAGACGTTCTATATAAAAAACTGAAAATAAATTTACATGTTAATTTGGTATTCTTTAAGAGTCAAAAGCTTGAAGTTAGGGCTTCCTCCTCCACAACTGTATTTCCAAATGCTTTGGTAAATAAATAGGGCCTACACCTCTTGGCACTGTCAACCACAATGCATACATTCAATTGTATTAAATATTCCATAGCAAAATCTCATTTGATAAATAGTTCCCAAACCTCAAAATTAGGTAAACAAAACTAGGGCACAGACTAGTGGTTTCAAAGTACAAGGTTTTGCTACCTGACAGACCACAAGGGAAAAAACCCAACAACTTAGCAATATGGACATGGGGCTCACAATCTCTCATTATTATATAATAAAGAACTCGAGAGCCATTTTCATTAATTAATATATTTTCTGCATTATAGTTAACATATGTACTTTCTTCGTGTCATCCTTATTTCGTTAAGTATTGATATTTTGTTATATTCAGACATGAGTACATTTTCAAAGTCTTTTGCAATAAATATCATAAAATAATAGAGATTCACATAATAAATATTCTTTACAATAAAAAAAGTTTTAACAGACTTTTGTCTTAAAAATAGTCAGGATTCAACTTTGTGTTTTATACATAAAATATACAAAAAAGGACCACAATTTGTGGCTAAGGCAATAAAACAGAGAACAGAATAAAATTATAAAGTACAGAGTAGAGCTAAATTCACTAAACCAAAAGGGTCGCAAGAAACACTTAGGCAACTCAATGACACCTGAAGACTGTTTGGATATAAGAACATCACCAATTTTAATATCAACGTGATACTGATGGACTATAGAAACAGGAGTAGGAGGGTAGAGTGAGCCATATCCTTCAAAGATTTGACAGCAGTAAATGAGTATGTTGCAGCCATAATGCCTCCAATATGAAGATCTACATAGTGTAGCAAGAACTGAAGTTACATTAAAAGTAAAAAACGAGAGGCAGGGGAAGAGCAACCGGCTAAATCTCAGGACTGAGACTATTCCAAAAGCTAAGACAAAACAGGAGGAAAAAAAAGAGAAGCAGGTCGCTTGCAGAAGAGTCAGGCCTTTCTTTTGGTAAAGCCTTTATTTTACATCCCTGTCCAGAAAGGGCACACAAAATGTTGCTTCACAATCCAGCTCGCTCATGAAACAGTTACTCCTTGGAACCCAGGGGGTTAAAAGAAACAGAAACAAAAAACAAAAACAAAACACAACCAAACAAGAAAAAGAATTGCTGAGAACAAAAAACATCTTTGGGAAGATATTCACAGAGCAAGAGGCTGCAAAAGAGCCCAGTGAGCCCTCACTGCCTCTTTCAGGAGTGGTTTAGTTGCAAACTCAAAAAGCCCTGCCAAAGTGAGCAGGCAGATGCAGATATGGAGTCCACACTTACCAAAGAGCAGCAGTGACTACGTAAAACACTCCACACTCAGCTGAGAAAGAGAGCAACAGAAGGAAAGCAAAGATGCAAAGAGAACAACTTAAGTATTTGAAGTGGGGGAGAAAGAAAGGAAGGCAAAAGAAAAAAAAAACCCAAAACAGGGGGGAAAAAAAAAAAAAAAAGAAAACCACACCACAAAAACCAGCTACAACCTGAAAGTAGAAGTTGGAGAAAGTAAACCTCCCTCCAAAAATCATGAGGGCTTGCCCTGAGCCCGAGAGGGGCAGCTCTCCAGTTTACAATAGACAGTGTTGGAGTTCTTACATCGGCAGCCTGGACGATTGACTCGGTCATAGCACCCTCGACACAGTTTTAGGCATCCTTTTGCAGGAGGGTAGCAGAGCAAGCAAGGCAAAAACAAGGACATTGCTCCCATGCACAGGTACCTAGAACAGCAATGCGACTGGGAACAAGAGCAGGGATTATCCGCGTAAGAGTCCCCTTCATCGTCATTGGAACAGTGGTAGAAGATCCCCTTGACCAAACACATGCAGGTGCCATACTCCACCATGCTCTCGGCAGAGCACAAGCACTGCCGGTTGCAGGCCAAGCAAGACGGGAGGGCCCTTGGGGCTGTGCACTCACCACATTTGCACTTCCCACACTGTTCACAGATAAACTTGTGCTGTGTCAAGTCCTCTTTCAAGGGACCCTTCAGATCATCTACAATCAAAGACGACTGCTTGGGCTGTGTCCGGATTGTCCGATCGGATCTGTGGCCTGAACCTGCCCTGGATGGAGGTGACCGTCCCAGCAGTCCTTGCTCTGAGGAAGCACTGCTATTGCTTCCAGAGCTAGCTGCGCTCCCCGTGCTGGTTGATCTGCTCAAGACAGGAGCCCTTGCATTATGCTGATGTGCCACATGCCCCACATGACTGGGCCTGTGTTCGTAATTATTATTCACATTAATTGGTATAATTTCATGAGTTCTTTCATGCTTCTCTTGCCTCGGTGCTGTCCGCGGCCCGGATTTTTTCACCACAGATGGACCTTCGGTGTATTCATTGCTGCCCCTGATGGCCTTGATCTGGTCCAGTGACAAAATAGTTGTTGACTGGCTCTCTCTTTCATAGTCCAGCCTTTGCCGGCTGTCCAAAGAGGGCTGCTGAATCACAACTAATGAACCACCGCTGCCATGCTGACTTTGGGGCTCCATCTGTAGTGATCTCTACTTCTGGCACTCAGTGGGAACCTGGCATGCATCTGAAATCCTAAAATAGTAATACAAAGAAAATATAAATAAACATTGTCTGTCTGCATGTATACATAGCCATGCACATACACAAAGTCACGGGCAAAAGATGAATAAAGAACAGGATGTTTTCAGAAAATAAAAATGATATGGCAAACCACAAATTGCCCTAGCCACCTGGTACCGATCTCTTTCAGCAGGGGATTACGACGACATTGAGGATCTGGCCAAAGTCCAGTAATGGGGGAGTCTGGGTATGGCATCATAGATGAGGAATGCAAAAGGAGACCCCATGCTATTAAAAAATACTCACATAAAAATCAGTATTAATCTGGGTGCTTACTTAGCAAGCCACGGGAAGTTACATGTTTCTCACTTGCTACTGAACTCAGTGTCTAATCACAGCAATAGCAATTCTGGATGCCAGCAAAATTAAGTCAGAAACAGGAAAGAACTGTATTAGGTTCATATTCTATATGGCAGAAGGAGAAAAAAAAAAGGACACGCACCATTCTTACTCCTCTGTCTCTATCTGCAGCATCAAAATGCATTGAAGATTTGCTTTCTAGTAGGTCTTGATAAAGTCTCCTTTTTAAAGTGAGATACGTGCATTACAGAGTCTCAAAATAAGTACTGTTAATAAGACAAGACCTTGTCTATAAGAAAGCAGCACAGCATCCAAATCTAATATGCTCCTTATAAAAAAAAAAAAGCAATGATGTATATGGAAGCAAGTTTTCAAGTATTTTCTGACCACAGGGCAGGGTGTAAAGGAAGGAAAGAATAAGATAAGCTAGGTATCAGATAGCTGTTTTTATGAATCCTCAGGTACTTTCTATATGAAGAGATGACAAACCCTCAAATCACACACAAGAAAATCCTTTTTCACAAGATAAACTGTTGATTAAAAAAACCCCTCAAATGTTACATCTTTTATTCTATCTTCTAACTAAATTATACATACTTTCATTTCTTTCATTCTGCTTAACTATTGACATGAGTATTGCAACGCTGGTTTGGAAAAATCAGCGGTGACAGCTCTGAACCTATATAAAAATGTAGATAAGATTATCTAAACTGCAACAAACTGCTTTCCTTTACTGAAAGCTAGGGAAAAAAAAAAGATCCCCTTTCACTCCCCCCCCCACCCCGAAAGCAGCATATATTTGTCTGAAAAAGGAGAAAGATGAGTGCTAAGCAGTCAAGCATTCCCAAACTCATCCCGCAACCGTGAGAAGTAGTCCGTCTTGGCTGTCCAGGCCATTCCCGGCATGGAGCTGTTCTCCACTCAAGAGCACAACGGTACAGGCGAGGACACGAGCAAGAAAGATTTCTTCAGACACACGGTTGTGAACCTTTATCACTCTGAATGCTAATAAATGCTTACTACCAGTTTCCACCACAACACAAGAGTCTTTGTGGTGAGCCGGGAGTCAAAGATTTCCTTTTTGCATTTACTGTCACCTGTGGGGGGACTCAGGGTCACGAGATTTACCAATAAGTAAAATCGCATTCACTTCTCGTTTCCCCCGCCGAGGGAGCCCGGAATAACACCCTAAGAAAATGCAGAAGGCATCCAGTGCCATCTTTGGGGGGAAAGCGCAACATCAACGCGGCGGGCCGGGCCGACGAGCCCGGCTGC